CGGCTGGCCATACAAAATCTGGACCAATCAGATTCCGAGAAACTTATTTATCCCTGTCTGCACCAAACCCTCATTATTCGGGAAAACTTATGAATTAATGTAGAGTCAGCCTTCGGCTGAACCAAACCCTCATTATTCGGGAAAACTTATGAATTAATGTAGAGTCAGCCTTCGGCTGAATTAAGTCACCTTTTTGTATTTTGGTCACCGGCTACTCACCAATCGCTGCCATGAATTTCACAGACCGTCGAGGGCCGATCGTCAAGAGCAAGAAGCCCAAGCCTTCTCAACTTTCCATCACCAAGGGATTGCCCCTTGAATGAGATTACTCAGACTAGCAGTAAAGTTTGCCAGTGTATCAAGCCATGAGGCTGAACGCATACGGAAAGGCTCCCCTGAAGAATGCGGACAAGACGCTAAGCCCCTGGGGCTCGACCACCAGCCATCGCACCAATTGGCTGGCTTCCAGGGGCTCAGGAATGCAGTGACTTCAGACTTTCCACTGAGCTCATTCAATATGATGGCTTCTCAAATGATCGTCCCGAAATGAGAACAGCGGCTGAAGGTTATCGTCTCTTGATCGGGTGCTAAAGCCAGGGTTCTCAAGCCTCTGGCGATCGATGGCGTCGTAGGGTTTTCGTTCCTGACTACTTAAGTACTGCGTTATTCCCTCGCGATTGTCTTTTCTAGAGAACACGATAAACGTACACTAAAGCAAACATGAAATATTCTGTTTTTGTTTTCCTCTTTTCCGCTGTTGGAGTCACTGCCCAAGCAGCAAACTGCAGTGAAGTAGAGGCCTGCCTTAAAGCTGGTCCGAAAAACGCACGTCTTTGTTTGTTTCTGTAAGCAGGAAAGCTAACCTGTGTCTCTAGACTGATGCTTGCGGTGATAATGAGCGATGCCTTTGCGGAACGCACAGAGAGATTGCCAAGCAAGTCGCCTCTCCTCATACATGGTTCTATGTTGCTAATACGTCTCCCATCAAAGTTGCTACGTCAATTGTGACAAGGATTCGAGAGCGAAACCGGCCGAAGAAGCTGTTGAGAAGTACTGTTCTGTATTGAGAAAGCGATCGAAGCCATTTTATAAGTGAACGTTGTCAACATATTCCCTCAAGATGGGTACTCTCCGTCAGGACTCTTTGTGTATTATCAAATCTGTGTTATAGGTAGATGATTCGGGCGTCTTATGGAAGTCAGAAAGTCATTACATGAAATTTGCTATATAAACAAGACGAGTCTCTCGACCACTGGATTGCACTCCAATGCCATTCAAAACCTAGGCATAGGTGCATTAATCATCATATTAAATAGATGAATGATTCAGCAAATAATAAAAAAAGGGAATGCTGTTTTCAACAGCTGGCTGGAACTCTCCCGCCGGGAATTGAACCCGGGTCTCAAGCGTGACAAGCTTGCATACTGACCACTATACTACGGAAGACATAACAGGCTAAAGCCTGCTGTAGTGAGTTCGATGTCTCGTAGAGCAAATTTAGAGGTTATATACCCATTAACGGAATCTTGCCCATTTTGGCTCGCGAAGCTCGGAAAACCGACGCTGACAAAGTCAATCCGCCAATCACAACGGCTTTTCTGGTAAACTCTCTTCCGGGTCTGGGGATGACGCAACACCAAGCTGATTTACGCTCGCTTAGGCTACCCTGGGTCAAAATCGGCTCGGAACTTCGGAGGTAGACATATATATAAACTTTTGGCGATGCTGAGACCCAATGAAAAGGAATTCTCTTTCTGAATCTCCTGGTACATTTAATTTTCATTTCAAATTAGTTTTTCCTCAATTACCGTCATGTCGGAGCCTACCGTAGCAGATTCGAGACGTCATCCCGCCCATAAAGTTTTTGAAGAACTTGGGCTTGTTTCGCTCTATCGATCGACCAAAGATGTCAAGATCCTTTGCGCACAGAGATTCATCCGTCTTTTTGCCTACGGCGGATCTACCTTAGTTCTTGTAGCCTATTTGCGAGAACTTGGCGTATCGACAACCCGCGTCGGCTTGTTCATGACATTGACGTTGGTTGGTGATATCATCATTAGCTTCCTGCTTGCGCTATTTGCTGATGGCGTTGGCCGACGCGCGGTCTTGGCTTTGGGGGCAATCTTGATGACTGCGAGTGGGATTGTGTTTGCTACCTCTAGTAATTACTGGATTTTGCTTGCTGCTGCAATCTTGGGTGTTATTAGTCCTGGGTAAGACAAAGAAAAATGCTTTGATGGCGTTGATGCTGACAATCGATAGTGGCAACGAAATTGGACCCTTCCGTGGTGTTGAGGAGAGCATCATTGCACATCTAACTGATGCTGCCAGACGAGGCGATGTCTATGCTTGGTACAGTCTCTCCGGTACGGCTGGCGGTGCCTTTGGTCTTTTGACCTGCGGTTGGATTATTCACCATATGCGCGTCAACCTCGGCATGGATGTTGTTGCAGTGTATCGCGACGTGTTCTATGGCTACTCGGTGATGGGTGTGCTGAAGCTGATCTCGGCCATCATCTTGAGCTCTGCAGTTGAAGTTCACCATGAGCATGAGCAAGAATCACCAGCAAACAACGGCGAACAAGCACCCCTGCTTCCCGATAATACTCAAGCTCAAACCTCGGATCAGCCCCAGCCCAAGAAGCAGCTTCGAGCTCGAATTTCTCGCGAGAGTATCCCGACTGTCGTGACCCTTTGCACTCTGTTGGCCTTGGATAGCTTTGCTTCAGGATTGGCTCCTCTGTAAGTACTTTGACACAATCTTGATCTTTATGCGAGAACTAACAGTCACCCTAGCTCATGGATCACTTACTACTTCAAATCTTACTACCATATCGAGGAAGGGAAGCTAGGTTCTATTTTTTTCACCACGAGCATCATCGCTGCTGCATCTATGCTGGTTGCATCTTCCCTTGCCAAGCGATTCGGCAATGTTCGAGTAAGAAACCAATGCCGACAACAGTCTGAATTGTGTGACTAACCTCTTGCAGACTATGGTATTTACTCACCTTCCATCAGCGGTCTTCTTGGCCCTGGTCCCCATCCCCAACGACGTCCACCTATCGGTTCTCTTCCTCATTCTCCGATCTTGCACTCAATCAATGGATGTTGCACCCCGCTCAGCATTCCTCGCCGCTATAATCAAACCGAAGGAGCGAACCGTCGTTATTGGCCTTATCAACGTAGCAAAAACGACATCTCAGAGCCTTGGACCGCTCATCACAGGACTTCTCGCAGATTCGAACTACTTCTGGGTCTCATTCATCATGGCTGGATCTTTGAAGGTCTGTTATGACTTGGGATTCCTTGGTCTCTTCAAGCATCACGAACATGTGGAAGCAAAGAGAAACCACGAGGAAGAGGGAAGCCAGTGATTTACAAGCTTGGTACTCGGTGTTTGATCGGGTCAAGAAAGAAATGTAATTAGGTATTAAACTCTTAGTGGTAAAAGCGATAGGGAGGCTTGAGGGTCATCTATACAACCATGAATGTATTTATGTTCAAGCAAAGCAACGTTGCTCATCTTTCTAGTACATATTCCCTCCCAAAGCCTCCGCATTAATATGTGATCTCTCACCGACAGACTTCTTCACGACTACAACAAGCTCATCAAGCGTGCCTAAAAATCTCACAAAGGCATAAACAGCTGCTGACCAATGTCTTCCTTCTTGCTTCGCCAAGTATTCCTTGGAGTTACCCTCGTCTTGAAAGTCTCCCCGCAACCTCCTAAACTGGATCGCCCGGCCCACCAAAGGCGTAGGCAAGATTGCCGGAAGAGGCTCTCCAGATATCAAAGAATGCTGAAGAAGGGTCATGGTTGACATCAGGTCAGCGATCAGGTTTTCGTCGCCTGCACTCACACGATAAAAGAACCTCTCGCGGACTGGAAATGGTAGCTTCGTGGCGGTCAAGCTGAATTGTGCTAGGAAGACGTTGAGGTTGTTGCAAAGATGATTGGCGCGGCTGAGCGTTTCAGTATCGATGTTTGAAGTAGAGAACTCAAACTTGGTCTTCAGAATTGGAAGAGCGATGGAGTTTAGCAGCTCTTCGGTGGTGGTAGCCTGCTTCTCGATGACCTCGACGAAATCGTCAGGAGGCGAGCGCCAGACTGAAATCAGAAGGGCATAGCGGTCTCTGATGCTCGACAACTGGCTGGATAAGATTTGTCGATAATGTCTGTTTCCAGAAAGGGGTCGCGGAAGAAGCGCAACAAGGACGGCTGCGCCAAAACCGATGAGGACAAGAAGGATTCGCCGCCAGAAGACCTCGTATCCGACTCCGGGATTACCATAGCTAGGGATATGCGTATCGACCCAACTATACGACATGACCATGTACATCGTTGATGTAAGCATGATACCTGCAGCCATATGCTGCGGCGGAGCAAACAACCTCCACCACATCATACCAATGATAGCGACTGCCATGATGGCAGCTAGACCGTATGGGTTTCCAGGGCCATTGCCGGATCCGATGTACCAGCACAGAAGACCCAGGATACCTCCGGCGACGGTACCAAGAGTACGAATGAGAATCCCAGATGTAAAGTCAGACATGTAAGGTTCGAGAGCCATCTGGGCCATGATCAGAGCCCATAATCCCTTCTCGCGATAGTAGAAGCCAGCTGATGATGGTATGACTGCAGGAACGGCGAGTGCAATAGTCAGGACCAGAGCACGAAGAGCGTGTAGACCCTCGACACCCGTGAAGAAGTTGATGAGCGCCAAGAAGATCAGACTCGATTTGCTTCGTCGACGGCTCGTGGGCTGCTGCATACTTTCCAAAATGGCGGCTGTTGTTCTTGCCCCTTCAGGGTCTTCCTTTTCCTTTCGCTTCTTCCTGAAGAGACCTCGCTTCTTCTCGGGTTTGGAAATGATGGACATCGTTCGGGTGAGATCGTTAGAGTTGGGAATCGTGGAAGGCGGTGCATCTTGGGACAGACCGAGCGTGAAAATGTGCTGGAGGCCTTTTGGTAGCCATACTCGCTTCGATGTTCGAACCCTCTCAACCTCGATAGCTCTTTCGAGAACTCCCCCAATATTCTTGGTCAGGTTGATGAGCCGTTCCTGGTATAGAAGACCAGACATCAAGCCAAGCATAGGAGGTGCGCGGTGATCATTGTAGATAACCTTGCCGTTAGCGTCAAAAAGATGGGCGTGAGGGGCGATGAGTTGCTCTGCAGCCGTATCTTCGAAGTCTTCGAGCGCTTCTTGCAGCGATGCAAGGATATGCTCATGTTGACTGATTGTGTCGTTTTGAGAAGCTCCCGAGAATGCTTCGATGATGGCATCGACGCTTTGCTCGAGTGTCTGCAGCAGGGGAGTAGCGCAAGAGGACAGTGCATCGATGGTTTTGACAATCATCTCTTCAGTATCAGGGTGTCTTGTAATCTCACGTAGATCGGCCGCTTTCGCAATGTGATAGGCCAGAGGGTGCTTCTCGTTGTCAGACTTCTCAAGTTCCTCAGCCGCTTTTGTTAGAGCTTCATCTTTCGCAAAGAGCTCTTCGCGAGAGATTGACAGTTGCAGTAACTCTCCGAAAGACACCAGTACTTGCCGCAGTGGTTCTTGAAAAGACTTGATGTCTTCAGGGCTCCATCGTCGATAAGAAAAGTCCAAAGGTAGAAACTTGACGGCACTCTCCACACTTTTGAAGGACACGGTCAAGGCACTTTTCAGCGCTTGTAGCTGCTCAGGCTCAAACCTGGTTCTCGTCTTGAAGTGCCATGTCAGGGCCTTGACGTACCCATTCATGGGGCGGAGGAGGTCTGCCATGCTTCCCAGGGTGATTTGTGAGGTTGATTGCGGGAAAAACAACAAATTGCAAACAACTCCAACGCCAACTGCGATGGCACTTGGCAGAATCAATACTTTCGGTATGGTGCCGTTGAAAGTAGGAATGAGCGGTGCTGTTGTAAAGTAGATGTCGGCAACAATCATGGAAAACATGGATACGAGCATCAAGTTGGGAGCAGAAACTCGCAGGCGCGCCTGGCCAGAGTTTGTCAGTTGAAAACATGCTTGACTACACAATCAACTTACCATAAGATAGACAAACAACCCCATCATGCAGAAGTACGTGACCGATACGCGAGTATCCAACATGAAGCCTTCATAGATGGCTATTTGTTGATAGGTTGCTTGACCCGACGCTTGGTCAACATTGGTCGTGTTTTGTGGCATTGATTGTTGCAATTCCGCGTAGCGTTGTTGTAAATCAGCCAGAGGTCTTGTCGCCAAAGCAGCTTTCATCGTGATAACTCCCCAGGCCCAGCCGAGCGCAAGACCGACACAGATCATAACTCCGGCTGCGAAGTGGATGAATACGACGCCCGAAGGCGGCATGATGAATAGGACAACACTGAAGACGCGTTAATACCTGATGATATAAAATCTTCATGTTAGACCTACCATCCGAAAAATGCCGACTGGCCGAGTACTCTCAGCGTATCACTGATGTAGATAAACAAGGTGAGGATCCAAACAGCCAAAGAGCACTTGAACAAAATCTTGAGGTCCTTGGCATTGAAGTGGTCCAGCCAAGCTGGCAGTCGCTTGGGGCTATTGAAAGCATGAAAAGACGCCTCTTCATCCCCCATTGAGCTCTCCTCTTTCGTTTTCGACCGTTTCAGCCTCATATCTCACTCAGTCCGACTCAACCGATGATTGTTTTGGTGTTGTTTTGGTGACGGTTTTAGAGTTTGAAGAAATGCACTGAATTTGGGATCGCCATGCCAGCGGGAGGCGGGAGTGGCGCTTATTTAGTCATGCTTTCAGGCTCTCATTTCGTATTGTCTGCACTAAGACCAATGCGTGTAGATTGTCTTATCTAAACGCTCAACCCCTGTAATTTAAGATCACCAGAATCCGTGCAGATCAAATATCCCTTGCTACAGTATGACATTGTGATGAGATTTGTGCAAGTCATACCTGAGCTTAACCTTATGTTTTATTAAGATCATCGTTACAAAACTTTGCACAGTAGTATTCGCATCAGATATCCAGATGTATTTCATAACCCAGATAGCCGAGGTCTTGTTATCTTGTCGCGCCCTCCAATCCAGGCCGCCCACGACAATTCGTATTGATAAAATCCTTCATTGCCTCTTTTGTCAAGGAACGTTCTATTCAAGCTTAGTGTCCTAGGATCCTTTGCAGAATAAAACAAGGAAAGCGACTATACAACCACGCAGACAATATGCACATCACCATTAATTGAGTACTCTATAGCGAGGTGTGAAAATATTACTATTGCATCAACAAAAGAGAAGAATTGCAGGCGGATAATCCGGTATTCTCAAGAAAAGAGACGATTAGCATCTTGGTGTTGCCAAGTCCTTTTTCAAACCTAGCAGAAGAGGTTAATGCTCACAGTTGACGAAGCACTGCTCATCTATGCTTCAGAGTTCAATGCAAACACTAGCGCCATGAGACGAGCTTTGACAAGGGCAACACGGATGCCTGATATTCTCAATGAAGAAGGGCCTGCAACGTGGGAGACTAGAGCGAGGTTGATCGGACCAAAGGGTCCTAGCCATGCGACAACGCTGCCCGTTCCATCACCGGCTCGGTCCATGCCGCTTAAGCTATGCATTGCAACCAACCATGTGCTCTTCTACAGCCACAATATGCAGCTCGGAGCAAATGTGTCATTTTAAATTCCGCGGGTACTGGAATGAGGCTTAAGTCTAGGCCATGTCTTCGCGCGGGGTTCAGAGACTCAGCTGAGAGCTGAGACGCCACGAACGTTCGATATGCTGATGCGTAAGCAGGTAACACCATTGTGTGATAAGAGGCTTGAATTCGAAAACTTCATTTCGCCAATTACCACGGGAAATCTCAGCCTGTGTGATGAGACTCATGCAAGCAGGAATTATAAACCTTTGGTGGCCAGTCAACAGAGGAATGTGACAAGCCAAGCTGAAAAGAAATTGACGAAGTTGTCGCGTGTTGGGAAAAGTTTAGATGATTTAGGAAAGACATTTTTGAATGTGAGAGACATGAAGATGTCAATAGAAGGAAAAGCAAGAGACAACAGATTAGTCCGCGACACGACTGCGTCTATAAGAAGGTAACTGCCTCCTAGATTGTTCTTCTCATCTCTAGACACTCATCACTCACTCAGTTTTCTACCACTCTCAATTTAACCACTTCATCCATCCCTTCAATATATCCTTCAACCATATCTTCCAAAATGGCCGCTTCACAGAACGGAGGTCTTGTCCATCAACAACTCATCCCTGCGGACAGCATCACTGCCTCCTACGACAACGAGGCCAAACTTCTGATTCTCAAGGCATCTGGCACCCATGTCGATCTTACTAGAGACATCGAATTCCGTCGTCTTCCTTTTGATGGTGGTCTTCTCTTCGAGCTGATCGGCTGGGTAGGCCCAGTCGTTCATGGAGAGTCACCCTATGAGATTACGGACAGCTTCAACATCGATCTTCCCAGCATCGTTTTCCCATCCAACACTGTTGTTGTCAACACCGAGAACAAGCAGCATTGGGTTGTCCCTATACAGTACAACAAGACAACTGGACAGGCTGCCACCAATGGTAAGGCTGAGGTTGAGCTGCCTAAGGTCGAGCAGGTCTCGGGAGACCAGAAGATTGTTGTTCTTGCCGATGAGCCCTTCACCATCCAGCAGAGTGACTCTTTCACGGGAAAGGGTGGCTCAGCCAGCATTGATTTCGATAAGAGCTTCCTCACTTTGACTGATGCTCGTATTGAAGATGGCAAGATCGTGTGGACTTTCACTGCTCAGCAGACTGGAACTACCGAAGTCTTTGTCTATGTGGGCCAGACCCAGCCTCCATTCTTGTATCGCATTCCCTACGTCGTGGAGAGTGTCGTCCTTGATGACAAGTCTGTCCCAACCCAGACTACAGCCTCTTTCAGTGTGAACAACAACGGGCAAGGCAGTAGTGGAACATACGGCGCTGCGTCCAACGGACATAAGAACGGCAACCAGAAAGTCGGCCTCCCTCTGTCTTGGGATGGGTTCATCAACGTTGGTCTCAACCTCATTAGGAAGCAGTATCCCCATGCCAACCTTCTCGAAGTGGACGCTACTCCCTTGACTCGCAAGCCTGTCCAGAATGAGTGGGGTCTTGTCAACAACCGTATTGTCTGTGGTCTCAGCGGCAACAAGACCGCTATCATTCAGTCCACTGGATGGGGCGAGTTCGGAAAGGTCCAGACCATCAACTCTCCCTTCTTGGGTGATCAGGTCATCCTCTGGCCTGTCACTCTCGATATCCACGATGCGTTCACCATTCTCCGAAAGGCAGGATACAAGCAGGCCATTTATGCCGTTACTCTGCGCCAGCCTCTCTATCCTGGAGATGATCAGCCCTTCTACATCTTCAACACTGGCACTGAGTTTATTGCCGTCGGAACAAAGGACAAGAAGATCCACAACTTTGGCGTCTCCGAGTACAATGTTCAGAAAGCTTAGGTTTCTCAACGGTTTCTTCTATACCACAGACAGTATTTCTCTTCTCTTTAGCCCAGAGCAGATTGATCAGGGTTAGCTTTGTTTTCCTAGTTAATTAATCCTACTTGTACTATCCAACAATGCTCTCTAGTAAACAATCAGTATTTATTACTTTTAAAGCACAGCAACAAGTCACTAAAAGACACCAACCTGTGCCGGTGCGTGAGACTCTATGCTGGGTGAACATTTGCTGTAATACTTCAGTCATATCATCCACCATGTGCTAGCTTGGCTTGTATCATGACTGGAGAAGTGACTTCCCCCTTCATGCTTCGAATAACCTAGTCTGACTTGGGAGACTGCATTTCAGCATGCCTACCCATTTCCTTCTCGCTTGCTACCCCGTCTTCTACAGGTCTCGCGATAGTGACGCCAGCCCGACGGGCAAAGACTAGGACAAACATCAGTCATCATTCAGGCTAGACGAGTTGAGCGAGACATCAGACTTACGTTCTTCCATTTCCTCTAGAGACTTGCCTTTGGTCTCTGTGATAAAGAACCAGACGAAGACAACAAGTGCGAAATTGAAAATTGAGAACATGAGAAAAGTCCTCCAGCCAAGGTTCTTGACAGCGTGGGGAGTGACTTGAGAAAAGACGAAGTTGAACAGCCATTGCGTTGAGGTGCTGATGGCAATGCCAGCCTCGCGAACACGGCTGTTGAAAATCTCACCAGTGTAAACCCACGGTACAGGCCCCCAAGAGATGTTATAACTCATGGCTTCGAGATAAATCATAGTCAGGGAGGCAATAGAAGGAGGGGTCAGTCCAGCATCGGGGTTCGGAGGGAACTTGACTGTCAAGATTGCCACGATGAGCATGTAAATGCCCATGAGACCTGCCCCTGCGAGCAGAGAGCCACGACGACCGATTCGTTCAACGAGGAATAGCAGGAAGAAAAGACACGCCACGACTTTGACAAGACCGAAGAAGCCAGTAAGCAGAAGCTTGTCCTGGCCAGCACCAACTAGACCGAAAATCTGAGGAGCGTCTGAACAGACATGTTAGAAATACTTGGAAAGGCACTAAGCTGCACAGGAAGTTACTCACAGTACGCCATGGAGGTGTTGCCGGTGAGTTGAACGCCTTAACACGTAGATGATTCATTAGCTAACGCCAGATCCCCGACGATTGGAGATCCAAAAGAAGTGCTTACCAATTTGCAGAGCAATGATGAGGCCGAGACGGTAACGGTTGATGGGCTCAATAAGCTCTTTCCAAGTCAAACCAGCCTTGATACGGTTCTCTTCGTCGATGCTCCGAATAATCTCGCCGAACCTGTGGGACTTGTGTGTCAGAAGGCAAAAACATTTGACCAACAGTCCAGGGATATGTTGATTGTCACGATTGAGGGTGACTTACTCTTCTTGGACGTCGGGAGAATCTCCACCACGAACCCAGATCAAAGATTGCAAAGCCTCCTCACGGCGACTTTTCTTGGCCAGCCAACGAGTACTCTCCTTTGTAAAGAGCATTCCTAGGCCAAGGATAGTGCCGGGAACAAGCTGTAAACCGACCGGCAGTTGCCACTGGGCGCTGCTGTCGTCGGGGATGTGGATGCTCACTGCGTAATCAACCCAGTACGAGGTCATGACTCCCAAGGTAAAGAAGAACTGGAACATGCTACCAAGCATGCCACGGATATTTTTCGGTGCCATCTCAGCTGAGTACATGGGCACTATCACAGTGGCCATGCCAACACCGACGCCCGAGACAAATCGGGCAATGTAAAATCCGGCGAGATGATGAGTGTTGATGGTCTGCACCACGGCGCCGACATTAAAAATAGCCGAGGCTAGAACAAGAGACCAGCGACGGCCAAATCGAGCGGTGAAGGGCCAGATGAAGAAGCAGGAGAAGAAAGCTAGGGAGGAGGAGAGTTCCAAGTTAGTTGTATATTTCCTCTCCATAGGGCCAGGAAAGACATGATAAGAGCACTGTCGCCATACAGAAGGTCATTCCATTCAACAAACAACTGCAACAAATAGATAGATAGATGTACTCACCACCAGCTTGCAGAAGACTCGTGGACAGTGAACCGACATTGGCCTTGTCCTTGGCGGTATACTGGAAATCCCGTTGGAAGCTCGGGAAGGTTAAAATTCCGCCAACAATGCCTGTGTCATAGGCAAAAAGAAATGAACCAACGCAGCATAGCGCTACAAGGTAGAATGCTCTGAAAGTTCCCAGAGCTTTCGTCATTTTGGTCCTCGTTTAGCCAAATGGGAATACGGACGTGACTTTGGAACATGTAGCAAGAAAAAGGAGGTTACGAGCGTTTCCAAGTGAAGTGACTGTTAAGGGGCGGACTATCTTGTGGCACGACGAAAAGCTTTATAGACAAATTAATCATCCTCGCGAAACGTAGATGGGTAAACCGGTGTCAAAGTATGGCGTGCTGTGGAAGGGCAATGGTGAGATGCACCGGAAATGGGCTGAAGTCGAGACTCTGCTACGTAGAGAGCCCGGAAGATTGGTAGAACTGTGTGGTTTGGCGGACACCATCTTGAGAGATCATGGCACTGCAGTCCCATGATGGGGTTTGTAGGTTAGTAGCCGAGAAGACTAACCTCAAACGGAGCTCGTTACCGATACCCGGACGCAGGGACGAGTTGGGCGACTCCTCACAAGCCGGTGCCAATTACACTATGCCCGATTGTATTATCCGACCGACTACCGACAGCTGGCTAAATTCGGCATCATTTCTTCTTTTGGCTGCATCAGAGTCATGCTGGGGCTGCGAGCTACCTATAGGCCTTCCAACTCGGAGAAAAGAGCGACAGGAGCAGAAGACAGTAGTCTACGGGTCATTGCATCGGCTATTGCATTTCTCACGTCCGATGTAAAAGTGAAGGAACATGGGTAGCTTACATTAGCCGGTGGGACAGTTTATGGTCTCCAACCTGCGTCACATACATAGTAGACACTTCACCATGTTCTCCTCATAGCTTGTTGCTACCTGATCATCCTAAGCACTGACTGACATCTTCTGCCTTCATTCCTTGGGTCTCAAAGTGTGTCTCTTTGTCCTCCATCTCCTGCCTCATTCCATTCTTCACTAAAACGAATCACTCAATCATTGGGGTCAAGATGGACTCGCGGCCGAATATTCTCTTCATCATGGCAGATGACCATGCATCCAAGGCCATCAGCGCCTATGGCGCGGGCATAAACAATACGCCAAACCTCGATCGGCTTGCTAAGAATGGCATGCTCTTCAATCACTGTTATGTAACAAACTCCATCTGTACACCTTCTCGAGCGGCTATTCTTACAGGCACACACAACCACGTGAACGGCGTCATGACGCTCGATAACCACATCAACAAGCATATGCCCAACGTAGCGAAGCACATGCGCACGGGCGGGTACCGTACGGCCATGGTAGGCAAGTGGCATCTGGGTGAAGGCGAACCACACGAGCCGACGGGGTTCGACTACTGGAGCGTCCTGCCAGGTCAGGGAGACTACTGGGACCCCGAGTTCATCGAAATGCCCCCAGACGGCAAAGGTGCGGGCGTCGAGCGTCACGAAACAGGCTATGTCACGGACATCATCACCGACAAGTGCCTTGATTGGATAACTGCCACTGAGAGCTCTGGCAAGCCCTTCTTTGTGATGTGCCATCACAAGGCTCCTCATCGATCTTGGGAATGCGATACAAAGCACAAGAGCCTGTATGCAGACATGCCGATCAAGGTTCCAGAGACGTACGACGATGACTACAAGAATAGAGCTAAAGCTGCCAGAGTAGCCAAAATGCGCGTGGCTGAGGACTTGACATATCAGGATCTTGGACTTGTTCAGCCCGATGGAGGTCGGTCGGTAGGCGAGCGGGTCACTCAAGAGTCTGGCTCGGCCCAACGCAAGATCCCAACGGACCCGAGCATTAAGCTGATTGACAAAGATGATGGCACTGTTTTCACCTTCACTACGCCTGCCGAGCTGTCTGCCTTCAAGTTTCAGCGCTACATGCAGCGTTACCTGCGCGTGATCCAATCAGTGGATGACAACGTAGGGCGAATGCTGGATTATCTTGACCAAAAAGGTCTTACCGAGAATACTCTTGTTGTTTACACCTCGGACCAGGGCTTCTTCTTGGGTGAGCATGGATGGTTCGACAAGCGGTTTATGTACGAGGAATCTTTCCAGATGCCCTTCCTGGCGCAGTTCCCGAGGCAGATTCCAGCCGGCTCTATCAGCAACGAGATATTCTGCAACGTCGACTTTGCTCCGACCTTCCTCGAGCTGGCAGGCATCAAGACCCCGAACTATATGCAAGGCAAGTCGGCACTGCCTTTGATGCGCGGGGGATCCGTGACGGGCCCGGAATGGGATAACGTCGCGTACCACCGTTACTGGATGCACAACGATGTAATTCACCAGGCTTATGCGCACTACGGCTGTCGCAATCAGCGGTATAAGCTCATCTACTGGTATAACGAGGACCTCGGAGTTGTAGGCGCGCGGCCAGGAAGGGCGGGAAATACTAGTGAGCCAGAGGAGAAGGAGTGGGAGCTATTCGATTGCGAGAAGGACCCTCTCGAGCTCTTCAACTTGTACAATGATACTACGTATAGTGATGTGGTCAAGCACATGACGGCTCTCCTCGAGGCTAAGATGGAGCATATTGGCGATGATCCAATCCATCTCCGGCTGAGTGGTCCAAGTAAAGGTGTGCCAGCGGCAGTCAAGTATGCAGAACAGAATGGCGTGCGACCTGAGGATGCGTTGAAGCAGAAGCTGTGAAGGATTGGATGGGACGCGCATTGTAAAGACAATCGATAGATGAGGCATGTACATAACGCGATGACTAGAAGGGTCAGGATTCTAATGAAGCCGTACTAGCAAAGGGAAGCCTCTTAGCCTGGCAAACTCTGTGAAGACGAGCCGAGATGAAGCTATTGTACTCGTTCAGGCCCGTGTGAAGGGTTTGTAAGAATGGACCTTAGTCTCTTGTAGCCCCCGCAGCCAGCCCTTACTGCTAGCGCTGAAACTAAAGACGCCTGAACACCTGATGGGAAATGCCACCTAGGGTCCTAGACCATCTCCCAATAACTTCTGAAGACACTGTGCCTCTGCTGGGCACGACTTGGCGAGGCTACGCGGGGTCATGAAGGCACTAGAAAGACGCTGACCCGCCCTAAATTAAATTCAGTTGGTTCCGTCACTTGGAGAGAATGGCACGCCATGGCCCCTTAGGAATTCTCCACTTCCCCGCAAACACGGTCGCCTCAGCTCCATCACCATCCAAATCATTCACACCTCACCAACTGGGGCAACGTCATCCTGCAACTCACGAGCCGACAATTATCGGTCGCGAGAAGGATGGCATGGATTACGAACAGCATATCGGTTATTTCAAGCTTCATACCAACCCCCACATCGCTCAAACATGTCTTCAATGCAAACAGCGTAAGGTGCGTTGCGACAAACCACCAGGGACCTGTCGCAATTGTCGACGGCTGGGTTTAGCTTGCTCTCTCAATAATGATGACCACCAGCTTCGCGAGAAGCCGCCCATTTTAAGGAAACGCCTCAGAGGAGCTCGCGCCTGCTCTTCCTGTCGTCTTAAGAAGATCAAGTGCTCGGGGACGCTTCCAACATGTGTCGCATGTCAGCAGAAGGACATCAGATGCACTTATCCGCCGCTTAAGCGTTATCAACGCGCTCGAGAAGGCTATTTGTTTAACGAATCCACGCCGGAGGACGGGGCGCCTCAGCAACGCGAATGTTCCTTTCTGGAAAGAGAAGGACGCTTACAGGCTGTCTCCGAATACTCAAGCAGTCCTCCCGCCACTGAATTAGCCGAGCAGTACCAACAACAGCATAAGGAACCGGAGCAGCAACAGGAGCTTGAACACGATCATCAACACGACCTAGTGATCGATGAGGAGCATGAACGTGAGCACGAGCGTCAGCACGAACAGGAATGTAGTGTGGAGCAGGAGCGACGACGAGAACGAGAACAGGAACAGGAATTGGAGCCGGAACACAGATGGGGATGGACTTACCAGCGCCAGCGCCAGCGCCAGGATGAGGACGATCGGCGACTGGAGCATCAACAGCATCAGCTGCGAAGAACAGAACTGCATCGGCAGCGGCAATCTGCGGGACATCCTGCAAGGTGCGAAGAAACAGCAACAATGCCGCTGTCTTCACCCGCGGACTCAACAGTGTCGTGGCATCCATCATCAACAGGGTCTGTAACAAGAGGCTCAGGGTATGGTGGCCCAAGCCGCGATCAAGTAGACACCCTCCTTGACGTCTTCTTCAAGTTCATTTATCCCATGCCATCATACGCATTTTTACATCCAGAAACCACCAGGAGAAGATGCTGTTCTCATGATGTGCATCGTGCCCTTCCTGCTTCTATTTGCGCGGTTGCAATATTGTACCTGCGCAGAGAAGTCGATCTCGATCTTGATTATCGACAGGACTCGAGTCGAAAAGCGCTCAGCCACATTGTTGCCTCCGCTGAGGATACCGGTGCGTGGATCAGGATGGCCGAGGAGAGCATCTGGCGAAGTCTCGAATCGCCGAGTATAACCAAACTCCAGGCGCTTCTCCTCGTAATTCACTATTACATAGAAACGGAGCTTTTTCAGAGGGCTTTCATGTTGACAGCCACGGCTGCTCGCTTCGCCACGACGATGCGACTCAATTACGAACGACATGACCTTTCGCCAGTTGCGCGAGAGGTCCGACGTCGTACTCTCTGGTCCCTAAAGATGGTTGAGCGCTATTTCTCTACGGGCCTTGCCGAGTTCGACTCGTTACCACTAGAGGTCATTTACATCGATTTTCCAAGGAGCGAGGAAGACTTCATGGCAATGACCCATGGTCGCGAAATTTATGCTACTGGCAAGGGTGAAGCCAACGGCGATTATCACAACTACCATGGTGAGGGGGGCACCTACGGGCTCATTATGCAATTGGAAGCAATTCGACGTGATGTGATGAAGCTTTCTAGGAGCATCGCGCTGCTGGAAACGCCTTTGTGTAATCTCACAGACCTCATCAGCCACCATTTACAAACACTAGCATGCATGGAGAAACCAGCTCCGATCCTGGGAGCTCACTTAAGCGCGGATGAAGCATTCGAGTCCCCTGGCTGCAGTAGCAACAGAGACAGACCAATCTCCCGATGGCTGCCCCGTCTATTGCTGGCCCACATCTCCTGGCACCAAGCACACTGCGACATCAACCGCATCCTTTTGCCTGGGTACTCAGAAGCTGCTCCCGCTGCTGTGCTCGTTGGCCATGACCACCAGGCCCTCCTTGCTGCTGAGGCTCAATGCTTGCATCACGCAATGCGAATCATCTACATACTCACCGCGCTCAACCAGCATAGCACACAACACCATCTCCTCGAATTCGACACAGCTATTTGTGCTTATCATGCCACCCGTCTGATCCTCTTCATCTCTCGATTCGGCCAAGGACCTGCTCGGCCGTCACCGGAATTTGCTGTTAGCCGTGCCGAGCTTTGCCTAGCTGCGCTCAAGAGGTTTTTCCGATTCTCAGCGCTCGTTAGTCCCATCATTGGAGAACTGGAGGAGTCCATCGCCATCTTCTCAGAGCAGCAAAAAAAGAAACGAAACTTTCCTAGCGATCAGCCGGAGGCGGCTGGATTTATTCACGCGACAGCGAACCAGGGGTCGGCTGCCGCAGCGAATGCAACACCTTTTGTGGGAACTCTATCTAATAAAACCCCACCAGGTTTCTCGGGAGTCACAACAAACGAGACAGGCACACCCAACTCCTGCCCAGCTACTGCACCAGCGATCAACAGCGAACACACAGAGGGTCGGGCTCTGCAGAGTGACGCCCATCAACTGTCCACGCTACAGAGTCAAAACAGATCAGACGGCCATTTTTCCGAAGCTGTGCGTGCCCGGCAGCGCTTAGCTGTACACAGTCTATTGCGCCGGGCTGAATTGTCAAATGTTGGACGCGATGACGAAGAATACCAGAGGTCCCATATTGACGAAGTAACTCTTGGTTCTGATACAACACCTCGGCGTCCGCCTTTTACAATGGAGGATGACCATCACAGTCCTCCCATCCGGGGAAACCATGGCACTTCTGAAGAGGAGAGACCTCGCGTGGTTGACGCATCGACCGCTACCGCTGATGCGACCGCCGGTTTGCAATCAACAGTTCCCAATCCGAAAACGTACTCCACGGCCAACAATCATGCTACAAAAAATAAGTCTCGACCCCATACGGCCCGGTTTCAAGATCAAGAGCCATCGAGCACTCGCAGCTCTACTGTGCCGGGTCTCTTCGCGTGGTGGGCTCCCCAGGACTGGGCATGGCTCCTGGAGGATCAACTCATGGAATTGGGCGCAAGCACGTAAGCGGCAAATCATGTTATTAACTCTCTATGTAGCGCCTGTGTTATCGGCGGAAGTGCGGGTCATCTCGTTATATGTAAAGAAGGAATATTGCAAGAAATGCTACGATCCTTTCATTGAGACATTGCTTTGACTACAAAGGCTAAGCCTTAGAATCTTCCAATGGCATCGTTGCAGCTGCCAACTTATCAGGAAACACTCAGTCTGGCGGGAAACGTGTGCCGTTCTTGTATTGTATTTGGCCTACTGCTTCCTGGAGATCTGGTCAGAAAATATTATATCCTACGTATTAGTGTTGCTAGGGGATACAACTCACGGAGATGATGGGGCATTATCCGCAAACGTGAGCCATCATGCCAAGCTAGGTATGGCGCAATTCAGTCTAACCCTATCTTACATAATGCTCATCTTGCAACGGCCGATCTTTCTTGTTCTCGTTTAAACACTTCTCGTTTAGATACTCTTCGTTTAAAGATAATGAACAAGAATCGGCACTTCACCCAGAACTCGTGGCTCCCTCGGAAGGGTTCAAGCCCCGCAGCAAAACTCGGCGACGAAGATGAACCATTCTATTTAGATGCTGCCCAACAACCCAGACTAACTAGTCCTATGTGAGAAAGATTTATTATCAGTCCCGTCGAATGTGAGTGTGATTGCGCCTTTCGGGGGCCGATGTCTTTTGAAAATGGCTTAGCCTTTTGTAGTAAGTCCGGCCGAGATACATATACCGTGGCATCTGATCTGGGGTTCGGTAGTCGGTCAATACCACCTTGACTAGACTGCAAAGGGTCCAGAGAAGAGACTAAGATGGATATGTTCTGTCCGAGCGACGTGCCTCCAGGATCACCTCACGCTCGCAGTCACCGAGTCAAAATTTAACATATCACAACGCCGTCCGGTTGTCGGTTTATATCCCCAGATAACCAATCTATCGAATCAGATACGTAGGTATTACCCCGGATTCTTCTCCGGACTCTCGGGAAAAGGATCATGCATATGGCCAAAGACGCAATCATCGCCATCCGCAAAACCTTGGCGGGAAAGACCTGGTTCAGCTCGCTCCATGAATTGATTCGTCATCTGTGCAGAAATGAGACAAGCAAGCTAAGGCCATATGCCCCAGCTTTATACCGATGTACCTCGAAGAAATTATGCTGGCTTTCGCAACTCTGCTGCATTGCCTTGTGAAGAAAACTATAAGAAGAATGTCATCCCATGTATACATCCAACCGCTAACAGTACCTCCCTCAAGACTCCAGCCGTCGGCGCCTCTACACAAATCACCCTCAACAGCCTGTCGAGATGGTCCATTTCTCCGTAATGCCCCTAGCTCTTGCTGGGTCCTTAGCCTACCCTGTGATCGCGGCACCGGGCCCAAAAAACGAAGCCTGGAAGAACAAAGCTCTCTCCCCAGCTGAGCGCGCGGAGGCTCTCTTGCCCACCCTCAAATGGACAGAGAAGATCGCTCAGCTAGGTGGTATAAGAAGGCTTCTGGATCCCAATTCATCCTTTAACCGGACTGTCTATGATGCACTGTACCCTCTGCAACATGGTATACTAAGTAGGTCTTTCGCCAGGCACAAGTGCAAAAAGCCTTATCTCGATGAACAAGTCCCAAGCTGACAACTAGATCATCAGGCTACGGCTCACAGCTGAACCCTGCTGAAAAAGTGTTGCCATTTGCGAATAAGGTCCGACAGGAGCAGATGCAGAATGGCAAAATTCCGTACATTACAGTCACAGATTCGGTCAACTCCATCTATGTGCCTGGAGGTACCTTGTTTCCTGCAACACTGTCACTGTCCACGTCATGGGACCTAGATCTGTATGGCCAAGTAACGGGAGCGATTCGAGACGAGAACATGGCTCTCGGGACGCATTGGGTCCTAAGTCCCGAGCTAGATGTAGCCAAGGATCCCAGATACGGCCGTGTAGGTGAGACGTAAGTGTATACGGTGCCCCCTCCTATACTGCAATTCCTTTTCCAGTGCAGCTTTCTTCTCCTATATGCTCGCATTGTTGGCAGCGCCTTGCGCACATGGACGTGTGACTAACCGATTTCTTACCAGCTACGGTGAAGATGTCTACCTTGTCGGCGAATTCGCGGCGCAGTATGTCCGAACTATGGAAGAGAAAGACAAGAACGGATTCATCAAAGTCGCCACAACCGTGAAGCACTTTTTATACGGACTAGGCGCGGGCGGCATCAACACTGCAAGCATGGCCGGCGGCACCAATCATTTGTACAACGACCTGGCCCTTCCGTACATTCGCGTGCTCAAGGAAAACCCTGCGTCTATCATGGTGTCGTATTCCAGCGTCGACCGGGTCCCTATGTCAATCAATAAACAGCTTCTGCAGGGTATGCTCAGATCTGAAATGGGTTTTGAGGGCCTGCTCATGTCGGACGCCATGGCCATTCCACATCTTCATACCCAAAGCCTCGTGGCTTCATCTCTCAAGGATGCAGCTACCAAGGCCCTACGTGCCGGATTGCAGCTCGAACTAGCTCCTCAACAACCAGCCGCATTTCCGACTCTTGTTAACAGTTCGGACGATCAGGAGATCGTGAGACTGGTAGACGAAGCAGTGAAGCAGCATTTGATCATCAAATTCGCAACTGGCATGTTTGATCTTCCCCTGCCCACGATGAGTGATCTCAAAAAGGTGCTCCGCTCATCCAAGCATCTCGATGTAAATCGCAAGGCTTCACGCGAATCCATCGTCCTGCTGCAGAACAAGAACAAGTTTCTTCCCAAGTCCAAAATCTCCAAGGTTGCGCTCCTCGGTCCCATGGCCGACATTATGAACCCCGGGAGCTACGCTCCCAGCACGAGCGCGAGGCCCTTGTATGGACGCACGTTAAAGGGAAGCCTCGAGGCAGCCCTCGGAGCCAAGAACGTCAAGTACGTCAAGGGTGTTGACATTGCTTTCGTACGTGATAGTGATAGTGAGGGCATCCAAGCTGCTGTCGCTGCTGCAAAGGAGGCTGGCCTTGCGATTGTGGCTGTTGGCTCTCTGTCCGTATATTCTCTGGATCCAAATGCTGGTGAGCGTACGGATGGCGAATTCTTCACACATGCCAGCTTGGGCTTCCCTGGTAGTCAGCAACAGCTCCTTGACGCTGTTCTCGACGCCGGCGTGCCCACGATTGTTGTTCTTAGTGGTGGCCAGTCGTTTGTGCTCAACAACTCAACCATGCGGGCCGACGCCATCCTCCACATGTTTCTTGCTGGCGAGTTCACCGCCGATAGCGCGGTCGAGATCATCCAGGGCAAGGTTAACCCCAGCGGCAAGCTGACTGTGACTATGCCGCAAGCTGATGGCGCACTCCCAGTATACTACGACTTTCTGCCTTCTGATGCACAAGGCGGCGTAAGCTTCATTCAGACTCCTAATGTTTGCGCTACATATGACTACAACTTCCCCTGTCTGAAGCGGGGTTATGCACCAATGCCATTCGGCTACGGCCTCAGCTACACCAGCTTCGACGTCTCTGCTCCTAAGATTACCCGGAAGGGTGACACCGTTTCTATTTCGGTTATGGTGGTCAACACGGGCTCCGTTACGGGCAAGGAGGTCGTTCAGGTCTATCAGAGACTCGCGAATTCCGAGATCGAGCTGCCGAACAAACGCCTGATCCGCTTTCAGAAGGTTGAGGTGAAGCCAGGCCAGAGTAAGGTGGTCGATTTCAGTATACCCAAGAACGATCTTGGTTACTACAACAATGCCAAGTATCAAGTCGAATCAGGGGAGTACATCTTCTGGACGGGTTCAAGTTCCAAGTTGACTGACTTAAAGAACGCCACAATCACGCTTTAACATTGCCCTTAACCGCCAGTAGTATCGAATAGTGTAGGCTAGACAGTTTTCGCAATTGCAGGTAACCTTGTTAATTATTCGAATTTCAAAATGCAGTACTTGGCTTTTTTTGATGGCCCCCTGATTCTATATAAGTGGTATAACCTTTATTATTTTAAATAGTACTATATAAAGAGTTATAGGCCCACAAGACAGTGGCATTTTCGCTTGAAAGAAGGTTGGTGTGATTTCCACTTAGGTGGAGGGACTTTAAGGCATACACGCGACATGTAGTTAATACCCTAAAGCTCAGTAAACCGGACAAAAGATTGACATTAACTAACATTTGACGGCTGATGCGTTTTGCTCGTATCGCTGCAGGAGATAAACTAAGAAAAGGGCTCGCCCTTTATGTTTAGAGCCACGATATAAAATAAACCACTTGTAGTAAGCATCAAGTCCTATTTCTGGATATACAGTTGTAAGATATGATTCTGCCTCGTCCAGAACACTCACCAGAACATCGAGTATTTGAACCGGCAAACTCCAGACCTTGACAGGAAGCACGCCATCTTGTCGACGAAGTGCAAATAGAGTTATCCGCGGAGATAGACTCAAAGGGGCTATGTGATAGTCACATTCTTAACTTATAATGCCCCGATTCGTCTCTGCTCTTCGGAGCTCGTGGGGGGCGAGATCCGACCCGAGATGCGAGGCGACAAAGCGCCAGAGATAGACCAACCATCATAGTTTCGGTGAGGTGAAAGTGGACCGATAGCTATCAGCTTATGCTGTTTTCAGGGAATGGAGAATGGCGTAATGTTGAGCAATTGCCTTGGCAGTGAAATACCAAGCTGTTGAGTGGTTATTCGAGCAATGGTGCAATAGCTTTCAGTTCTGTCGCGAGCTACAGATCTTTGCCAAGGACCACTAGAATATAGATTTGACCGAGTACCGGAGAAGTGCAACAGATCCGAAAAGGCGTTATCGACCAATCGATCACTCGTTTGTGCTACCTTTTCACTTGGAAGCTATGAGTGCTCACCATTGAGACACAAATGCCTCAACAACCATTTCAGGGGAGTTTATCGAGCAATGGTCAGAAATGAAGCCGAATAATACCATCGGAATTAATCCCTACATCTCGCTATTATATCCATACCTGACGCCATAGATACATCGGTAACACCACGAAGTTGAGTCTTTCGAGATCAGTAACATGGATTTCGCCATCGCATGGTTCACCGAGGGGTTAAACAAGTACCAACGTCGATGTATACAAAAGGCGTTATTATATTCAAGATGATTGCGAAGAGACTGCTGAATAGGGCCCCATAGCACAGTGATATTCACAATGGCACATTCTGATGATGCTCGTGTGTCAGAATCCAAGAATGCTGTTGACCTTCATATTGACCCAACCGATTCGGACTCCTCCAAGTCAATTCCCTCCACCAAGGTGATCCCTCTTATCGCTACACTTCCCCTCGCTGCACCAGAGGAACCTCGAAGCTGGTGGCAGCGACGGCCGAGACAAGATGGAGAGGCTGTTGCAACTCGTCGGTCCGTCTTTGACGACCCAGACATGGCGAGGCGCTACCAGCCACGACCTGACTGGGAGAATCTGCATCGATTTGACCCTTCCGAAAGGTGGACTTTCAATGAGGAGCGCAAAGTCATTCGAAAGATTGATAGACGGATCATGGTATTCGCTTGCGTCATGTTCATGGCTCTCGAGCTGGATCGATCCAATTTGTCTCAAGCTGTCTCGGATAACTTTCTGCCAGACCTGAAGATGGATACCAATGGTTAGTCTCTTTTATAGCAGGTTCCTATATCCTTTTAACTTTACATTGTTAGATTACAATCTTGGAAATACCGTCTTCAAGTTGTCTTTCTTGTGTGCCGAACTTCCCTCCCAGCTTGTCAGCAAGTACCTCGGACCTGACCGTTGGATTCCGATGCAGTTGTGCCTCTGGAGTATTGTTTCTGCGGTAGGCCATAGGAAGCCTTCAGCTCTTCGATGTACTGACGGTATGAGTAGGGCCAATTCTGGTTGGACGGGAGGGCTTCCTTTCTGGCATGCCGTGCCCTTCTGGCCATCTTCCAGGGCGGATTCATCCCGGATGTGAGTAGTCCATGTCGCCGTCCTGCCTAAGTGTTAATGGCCCCAACTAATCATTGCTCTGGAATGCTTTTAGACGATCCTATACCTGAGTTATTTCTATACCGCTAGTGAGCTCACTGTTCGTCTGGCCTTCTTCTGGACGGCGTACAACGTCGCCGATATCATCAGTGGGTTTCTGGGAGCAGGTTTCCTCCAGTTGCGTGGCTGGCATGGGCACGAGGGCTGGCGATGGCTGTTCCTGTTCGAGGTTTGTCATTCAAGCTCTTTGCATCATCGACTATACTGACGAATAGTGCCAAATAGGGCCTGCTGACGCTCGCGGTTGGCATTTCCGCCTGGTTTCTCATGCCCGCTGGACCCACTCAAACCTCAGGCATTCTCCGTGGTAAGAACGGTTGGTTCACTGAGCGGTAAGTTGCTCCAGAGATGGATATGCCTTCGAGACTGACCGGTGTACAGAGAGGAGCGCATTATGGTGAACCGGGTCATCCGTGACGATCCCAGCAAGGGCGACATGCATAACCGCCAACCGATTACTCCGAAGTTACTATGGGCATCAATCAAAGATTACGACCTCTGGCCGATCTACGCCATCGGCTTAACATTCTTGATCCCAGCCACGCCGCCCGCCCAGTACTTCACCTTGACCCTTCGTGGCCTCGGCTTCAATGTACTCGTTACCAATCTTCTGACCATTCCCCATACGATCCTGTCTATCGGTGGCCTGTTGCTTATTTCCTACCTGGCCGAGAAATGGAACGAGAGGTCTCTGCTTGGCCTAGCTGTTCAGATCTGGAAGCTGCCATTCATAATCTATCTATACGTAGTAGACATGAGCACGGTCAACAGATGGGTCTCTTTCGCCGTGCTGGCGCTGTTGCTTGGTTCTCCGACTGGTGAGTATAGACGTTCCTTGACTTACCTATAACCGGCTAACATCATCTTCCTAGCCCATCCAATCCAAGTCAGTTGGAATTCGCGCAACTCCAATACCGTTCGCCTAAGGACAGTTTCCGCAGCTATCTACAACATGTCCGTTCAATCCGCCGGTATTATCGCATCCAACGTCTACCGCAAAGACGACGCGCCGAGATACCGGGAAGGAAACAAGAATCTTTTGGCGATCATTGCGCTCAACATCACGTTGTATCTGTTGACCAGAACCTACTACATCTGGAGAAACAAGAGCCGAGACAAGATTTGGGATGCCATGGATGATGAACAGAAGAAGCATTATCTTGATACCACAAAGGATGAGGGTAATAAGCGATTAGACTTTCGGTTTGCCTACTAGCCTGGTGCAGGCTTTCGGGCGACTCGGAGAAACCGAGACAGCATGGTTCTGATGATGCTTATCTCGATGGTGAAGGAACATGAACAATTTCACTTTAATGCAATTAGTTCCAGGATTAAAAACAGCAGAGAACCATTCAATTGATGTATTTGCATAATACATCGTCAAGTTCATGGTAGTCAAAAAGTTAAAGATGTCCGACGTATCCATCATTTCTTATCATTACTGATAAGACCAGCCACTCAGGCTCAAGACAATCAATCAGTGCAGGTGACACAGATAAGCAATCAGTCGCCTGATCCTTCCCATTCCATACTAGCGCAGTCTCTAGCCTTATCTCCATTCGCCGCCTCCAACCGTTCCATCACCAACTTAACTTTCCCCCGCCCTCATTTGTTAGCAAATGACATAACCCCAAAGCAGCATGTTTTGCTTTGTCCCCCAGACTCAAAGCCCCTGTGATGCCACCGCAGCGTCGATCATGGGTTGGTTGTGCGAGGTGTAAGAGCTTTAAAAAGAAGTGCAGCGAAGAGAGACCCTCGTGTCAGAGATGTCAGACAGCTGGGGTGAAATGCGAATACGGGGTGAAGCTTCGCTGGGGAGGGAGGCCGTTCAATCGGTCACCTTTTGGGGATTGTTTGTCACAAAATGAGGGCAACGTTCAAAGACTAGGCGAGTCAGTTATTTGTTGCACAAGATATATACTAACAATCTCTCAGATTTAAACAAGAAAAACTTCATATATGTTTCCCCCTCTACTCCTAGACCAGGCCCGTCAAAGGCTACATCGCCTCCTCCAGATCAGAATGTCGATGAGCCAGAATGGATAACAACTTCTCCGTCAGAGGACTCGGAGCCTTCTCAACTTGTTGTCAGTCAAAGGCAAATGCCAATGCCTCCGCTAACCCCGTCCGTTGAGTTCTTCGGTCACCTATCACCCTTGCATCGATCAGGCCTACAGTACTTTACCGAGAGGACCGTCAAAGTTCTTGCGCCACATCCCCAGATCTTTGATGAGCTATGCGAACTCATCTTGCCAATGGCAGTCTTCAATGAGCCCTTACTGCAGGGCATCGTTGCGCTGGCGGCTACTCACCGACTTGCGACCTGCAAAACAAGCGAGGAGCAGTCCTCGCAAGCGCTCATTGTTGCTGGCTTTCAAGCTCTCAGCTCCAGATCCCTTTGCCAGAAACTTTCCGAGTGTGATGAAGATCAACAACTCATTCCACTGCTGGCCGCATCGAGAGCGCTCTTCGTTTGCGAAGTCTTCGCCAGCGAGCCCAGTCCAGATCGATGGAGCGTTCACTTCCGCGGAGCGCGTGGGCTCATTTCTCGAATACACGATAAGGGTCTTTCCCAGAACCCGACGGACGAATTGCGATTTTTAATACGATGGTTCGACATGACCGAATCGCTGGTCTGTCACTCGATGAGTGATCTCGCCCCGCAACAGTCAACTATCCCCTCACCAACAACGCTCGCATCAGACACAGATGACGAGCCTGTGTACATCGATATGTATCTTGCGCGTACAAAGGACCTTCTTGGAGTGTTCAAAGAGATTGCGCGACTATGCCGGATCAACAATGATGGGACAGC